ATAATGATGGGCCAATTATCGGAAGTCTGAATATTGTAGAACAATATAAAATTTATAACAATAGCTCTTATAGTATACAATGTCACAAAGAAAATGACAGTTTTTGTTTGTTATCGGATGATAGCTGTATATACGTACATAATATTGTTAAAACAATTGATAATAAGATTTTTGTACTGGGAAGATTATTACAATCTATGGGTAGCTTATATTCGTTACCATGTGATTCGGAAAAATTAAATATTAGATATGTTTCCACGAGAGTTTTTCAAGATGGTTACTGGCCAGTTACAGATATAATGTGCAAGGCGTGGGCTATACCCCGTGGCAATGTATTTGTCATTGTTCCTATTTTACATAGTTTNAGTTCTGACTAAGTGTATAGGATTTATAAATGAATAAAATTATATGTTTTCGATACACTTGTTCGATCATTTGTTTATTTATTTTACTTATTCTATTTATAATTTTAGGAGCTTATGTACTATTACAACATGGAGACATTTTCGAGATAGTTGGAATTATGCAATCATATGTGACGTCAGTATTATTCTTTGTACTATATTACACTAATTATTTTTTTTTTAGGAATCAACATGAAGAAATTCTCTATTGTAGAATTCGAAGAAGGTCTTAGCGTTGTGCCGANGGTGTGGTTAACTACGACGGATGAGGGAATTCAATCTATTTGGCCAAGTTATCTAAAAAATCAATTTCTTATAAATAAAGCAATAATACGTGGAGAGTTACCGCGAGACTCTGCGGAGTNGTCTATTGTTGATGTACGGCGAAAATTTGGTGAAGCTGGTATAACTTATTGATAACTTATATTGCAATAAAATTATATTGCAATAAATAGATGGTCAAACTGTAAACCCACTTTGCTGTCGTCGGCAGATTCATATGAAGCAGCTATGCAGAAATGTGCTATGGCGGAAGAGACGTCGAATTTGGACGATTCTGATAGTCAGGCGGAAGTTATGTCTGAGAAATTGTGGGAGAAATTAAAAAAATCCAGGCATGAACGAGCTAAAAGAATGTTTTNGTCTGATGAAGAAAATTTCGAAGAAGAGGCAGTATCTACCTCGAAATATTCGTCATTTCCATTGTTCCCATCAAAACAGAAAAAAAAAGTCATCACAACGAAACAGAAAAGAGCCAGCAATCGACACGTGAGAATATAATAATAAAAATAACATATAATAACACCAGAACGGCGTGAACAGAAACGGTAATTGTTATATTGAAATTTGTACAGCTTTATCAGTAAAACCATCAACAAGTTCTTTATTTGAGATGTCACAAAAATCACAAACCGCAATGAACACGAAATCTATGACCGT